TTTATATGAGATAAGAAATTTTTTTCTTTTTTAGGTCTATATCTAACCAAATAACAATTTCCTATTCAGTTTTTCATGCTGATTCAGAATATAGTACTTTAAAAATGATCAGAAAATAACTAAAAAAGAAATTTGCTGGTTTTCGTAAAAAACAAAATTTTAACATAAAAACAGCATTTTTTCAGGCGTTCTAGTATTTTAAGATTTTCTCAGCCAAACAGTAACTAAATCGAAATAAAAAGTATGTATTCGTGATCAGCTTTTCAAGCTCTATCAAACCATATACAAATAAACGAAAAAGAAAATTTACTCCAATTCTGCTTTAGCGGCACCTTACTTTTGCTGAAAATTTGGGTGAAAAATATCCATTACTGATGCCAAATACTTGAAACAAAGAGTTTATTAAAAGCCAGCCTTTCTTTCTAACGAAACATTTCCTAAGGTTTTTTTTAAAAGCGGTGAGTTTGCATTCAAGGCATAATTACAAATAGATGTATTCTCATTTACTTATATTCTAGCGGTTGTGAGCTCATATAAGTTCAGCTCAGTCTTGGCGTCTAAATAATCTGTGAAGAAAGAGGAAAATGTTTCTACGGCATTAGAGCTGTTCGTACTTCTAATGTTGGATTTTATTTAAAAGCCAGCCACTAATTTTTGAATAATTTTTGATAAGTACAACATTTAGACCTATGGTTTTCATCATTGAAAAGAGAAATGTGAGGAATGGTGGTCTATATGGAATTCAATTTATCAACTAGTAGTTACGCTGGTAATTTTTGCAGGGCATTTTGGGCACAGTGCCCAAATACGGTGTCTTGTTCGCTTTTAGATCCAAAGATGGTGAGTCGGTAGAGAAAATGAAGCACTTTTGCTCTACGCACAGTGCAACTCCGTAGTTTGCGTCGTTCATGAATTATCAGCATATTCATGGGAGCCTCGAAATCGACCCTTTGACATTGGCGTACTCTAAAACCGGCCAAGACTGAGGTTTGCGACCATGCTGAGTCGATTGGTCATATAAGTTGTCATTTACAAAAGGATGTGGAGGCACCATGTCAAGATACAGAAAATTTCATCTTCACCGACTCTCACCCATCATAAGACACAAAAAATCGATATTATGAAACCCTTGACTTAGTGACACCACATTTGTTTTCAAATGAAAACTAATATGATCCATGCTAGAATCTTGAAGCTAGCACCAATTTTGCTATACTCTTCAAGATTTGTCTGAGCCGAAATTTTCTGAAAGTTTTGATGAGCTGCTCCCGAGAAAACCTAGAATGGGATGCAAAATACCCTTACATTGGAAACATCGTCAGAAAAAATTCTCTGCTACTAACCATCATCGATACCGAGTGAAAAGCTTGATAGTCCACGAGGTAGCGTAAATGTCGCTCCACAAAATCTACTATGCAACAGTATGCGTGAATTCGAAGAAGGCTTACTATTAGGAGACGCAGTTTGTGAAATGAGGTGTCAGTAGGTTTATTAATCTTGAAGTAAATATAAAAAGCACGTGACACAACAGTCTTGTGCTTTTAAGCTAAAACTAAAGATGGATTTGATTCGTCTGTTTCATCGATGGAGTAATCGGGTGATGCTCTGTTCAGTCACTTCGTCTTCTGTCGCTCGACTCCGAATGAGTGCTCTTCCAGCAAGTTCAGTGGCATATAGTCGAATATATGGAATATTGGTCAGTCTGTGAACATAGATAGCTGAAGTGGAATGAGACGGTCTGAGAGCTGCCATGAGTGCTTTATTCTGAGCGATCTCCACTCAACTTCAAACTTTATCAAGTTTGTGAAATGTCACTCGGTGCATTCCACTCTTGGGGCTCTGAACAGTTTTGAGTTATATGTGGTCTGACAGAGCGAACCTTGGGCTATGTGTGAATATGTATTTGGTTTGTTAAGTCGATGGACAAATGAAGAAGAAAACGCGCATGCAAGAAAAATGACTGACTATTTTCTGGTACATTTTTTCAAAATCTAGCGTTCGTATCCTAGCTATTGTGACCCGAAAATGCGTTCAAGTGCCACATATTTTAGTACCAAAATCATCAGCGCACTGAGCTCTATGAGCCCTAAAAGCTTCGAGCGATTTGTAGATCGTCGATGTAACAGCGGTACTCTTCTCATGGAAATACCCTATCTTGATTCATAACGTTTTTGTGATAACGTGGTGAATACATTTAATACAAAATAAGAGAATAATATGCATCGAAAAAAAAAAATTTTTATATACGGTTTATTTTATTGCTCGTTCTGCAGAAAGTTGTTTGCTTATGCTTTTCAACACGTGTTTCTGTGTTGTTACTTTTATCTTTGACTGATGATGTCAATCGATATTCACGAAACGTCGCAAATAAAAATGTTTTTGTCGGTGCAAATTATTCTGTTATTTGGGACCATATCTTCTTTAGAATACTTGATTGAGAAAACAAAAAATAACAACTCACCGTTCACGAGCCGATCAGTTCGTTCATTCAAATTTTCGGGTACCAACTCGATTTGTCCACTTTCGACAAATGGTTCTAGGAGTGCCAAAAGACGATCTTCAACTTCGCGGATGGGAATATTTCTTGACGTCGGCCATACACGCTCATTGAGGTTGGAAAAGAGACCTTTCTGAATGAATGTGGGCATTTGATGGATGACATGATCTTGTAGGGTGACAACTTGATCTCGTCGAATTCGACCTTGACCTTCACCTTGCCACTTTGTTCTGTCGTCTTGATCCACAAACCAACGGCCTTCGTAAATGTAAATCTTTGCATGACTTCGCATCATCGTCGCCAGAACGAGTGCAAATGTCGAACCCACTGGGCCTCCACCCGAGACGAGAACCACGAGCTGCTGTGAGTTGGACACAGATGACATGCCTTTGACGTGCGTATAAGTTTGACGACTTCACGAGAGGGAAAAAATATGTATGAGGCAATCAAGAAGGCAACTCACTCAAGGTAAATACTGACGTTGTTAGTTACTGCGACTTTCGTCAGACATGACTCATGCATGAAGAGAAAAAAAAATCAGTTCTCCTCCTCGCACGGTAGCAATTTTTGTTTTTGAATATGCATGTTTATTAGGTCTATCGACGCTTATAATAATGTGACACAACAAAAAAAAACAGAAACAAGAAACTACAGTAAACAAAGAGAGAAAAAGGAAAAAAGAACAAAAAAGGAAAATGAAAGAGAGAGATAGACACAAGGAGAAAAAAAAGGGGAACAGAGATTAAAAAAAGGGTAAACTCAACTTTGGTCGACAGTTAAAATGTCGACAGTAAAAATGTCGACACTAAAATGTCGACAGTAAAAATGTCGACACTAAAATGTCGAAAGTAAAAATGTCGAAAGTAAAAATGTCGACAGTTATAAATGTCGAAAAAAATTCATAAAAATTAAATTAAAAATTGTAAAAGAAGGAGTGATTTGAAAGATATTCGATGAATATATTATTATTGTAGGATTGATGGCGACTTATGTTCGTTTAAATCTATCATTAGTCTATCAGACATTGGTCACTTAGTACAATCTAATAGAAAAGAAAAGAATAAGAAAATTATTCTTCA